TGGGCAGAAAGAGAGTGGGACAGATAGAGAGAGAGAGAGAGAGAGAGAGAGAGATGAGGTGATGAGTGAGAGAGGTGGTAAAAATCTACGAGGCATAAAAGGTAATATTCAATATTGATCAGAACCTAAAGTCGGTTCGATCTAGCCACGTCCGTGAGAAAAATACTTTGACGACAAGGGAAGCTCAGCTAATTATTCAGAAAAATATATTTCAAAACCGTTGTAAAGGTTATTTGCTTCTCAAACAAATTATTTATATTTTCTAAATTATAGTCTAATTATTAGTCAATGTGTCTACAATGTAGAAAATAATTCTAGTTTTTAGGGTCGATTTTTGCAAAATTTTGAAAAAATATGTATAATTCTTCCATTAAAATTGTTCTTGTTTTCGGGCTTATTTTCAGTGTAGGGCCATTTTCTAAATTTCACGCCAATTTTTTTTGCTACAACAATTGTACCTAATTTTCAGTGTGTGTTTTTACACAGAATTCTTATATTCAAAGTTTTCTAGTCACATCCGATTTTCTAAATTTCAGGGCAACCTTCTGATTCGCTTTGTCGCATAAATAAAAACCGTTCCACTTCGTGGACTCACCTTGCCCACTTTGCACTTGCCGCACAGATGTGCGCCGGCAAAGGTGCCCAGTTCCGTGGGATCCGAGCATCTTTCGCAGGCGCAATCGAAACATTTGACCTGCTTGAGATGCACTCGCCGTTGCACGGTGCTCCTGCAATGGTTGCGTATAGGATATGCTGAGAATGGCGCCCTTGGGAATGGGTCGCTTGGCGAGGAAGATGATGCGCATGTTGTCGTCGAAGCGATGCCTCAAATTGGGCACACAATCGTGGGCGATCATGGCACCGCCCGGGAAAATGGCGCGCACCTTGCGACGCTCCCCGTTCTGCCGGACCTCAAAGGCGTTCGTGTCCAGAATGGCGGCAATGCGGAGGATTTCCAGTTCGGGCCAATCCCGCTGACCCAGCACCGTTTTGATAAACGTTATCAGATTGGCTCGCAGCACTTGATACAGTGGCGTCTCGATGCGCTCCTTCAGATGATCCTCGAGTGCAGCGAGCCGGGCAAATGCCTCGGGATTGCTACGCTTCAGTTGCATGCAACGCAACAGCATTATGACGCAATAGGCGGACTCTTTGCCCTCCGGATCGGCCGGATTATAATTTATCTTGGACTGAAAATTACTCGCCGCCATCAGGCGACACTCGTCCAGGTGAAATGGCGATTTCTCGCACTCCTTGCTGCACATGGGCCAGCTGCACGAGCTGCATTTGTAGAAGGTCATCGCTGGTTTCTGCGGCGCCAGCAAATTCCTGTGACAGCCCAGACACAGTGGCGTTGCGGCAACCTTGGGCCCTACCACCAGCGGTGCCTCGCACATGATTTGCTCGCCCATCCGAATGTCGCGTGTGGCGCGCAGATGCCGGCCGAGCAGCTCGTTGCTGGTCACCTCGTAGCACTTGCATTCCCGCTTGTGGCCACGCTTCCAGTGCTCCTTCTGATGCTCGCGACTGCAGTAAACCACACTGCGACAGCCGGCGCACAATTGTGTTGCACGCTGTTGGCAATACGCGCAACTTGTGGGCGTAGTCATCATTCACGTAATCCTTATGCTGGCTAAATATGCGTATGGAGTTTGTGTTGTGTCTGCGGCCTGTGTTTGCGTAATGGGCAACGTTTGAAAATTCACTGACACAACAAGCGAAGCAACATTTCATTTGTTGGCGCTGCGGTAATTATACTCTGCTTCCCAAATGACAAAGGGGTATATTTTGGGTCGTCTGGCAACATGTGTGTATAAACCCAATTCAGATGCACGCTTCAAGGTCATATTTTTTATAACGAATTGAATAAGAATTTTGCCTTGTTTTTTTATGAGAAAAGTAAAATACTTTTTAAAATTATATTAATTGTTTAGATATTTTCTAACAATGACCTTTCATTATTAAATCGAATTAGTAAAATGTTATATAATTATAAGTACAACTGACGCTGTGAATCTCTTCCTGATTGTATTCGAATGTATCAGAGTATAAGATATATAATCTGGCTCTGGCCAGCAAAAGATATATTGTAAAATGAGGTCACCAAGAAATAAATAATTATATTAGGTATTATTCAAATCTTTTACAATCATAACTAATTTCTCTGAACCAAAGCAAGTCGTTTGATTTTACGCAGTGCGGAATGACTAGCATCTATAACATTCAATTTTATTAAACTATATTTACCATATAAAAATCCTCAAATCGTTATCAAATATATTCCTACACAGTGAATATTCTAAAGTAATAATAATCTGACTTATGATATTAGCTTGGGATGACAGTTTGAGAGGCTTTCATCTCTTATTCGAAGCACTCTTGAGCCAATTTTCTGCTGTTATTCAACTGAAAACAGTGTATTGAACAGTCGACTATTTACTCGTGCCACATTCTTACTTGATATCTTTTGTGTCTCTGGTTGGCAGCGTTCGAGGTCTGCTCTTGTTCTGCTCGATCTCGATGTAGATGTAGATCTCCTTCTCTTGTCATTTGGCGCACGACGATTTATTATTAGAACTTGGCGATAGACGCACGCCAAAGAAACAATAAACGCATCTTAATATGTTGCTATACATTTGCTCTCACTTGCCCTCTCCCACTCCCACTCCCAATCCCACTCTCTCTATCTCTCTCAACACACACTGCTCTTGAAATTCCATCAGATCCTTTCAAGTTTTTTGGCTTATCCAAAACTTGCCCCAACCAGAAGATTTTGATTTATTTTTAGTGCAACCCAGTTTAATATTTTATCTCCAGACCTAAAAATGAGTTTCAACATTTTTTCATTTAATTTTAGCAATTCAATAATTTATTTAGTATTTGTCATAAATTTTCTATATATATATATATATATATATATATATATTTATTAATTTATACGCAGATAATTAATGTATTGTTTAATTGGAAATCAGTCTTTTTTTATTTAAATAAAAGTTAAATGCATTTTGTTGTTGTGCTTTTTTGTTGTTGATTTGATTGATTGTTTTCGATGAAAGAATTCAGTAAAATAATAATTAAAAAAAATTATAATTGAACTATAATTTATGGTTTTTTTTTGTTTTGTTTGTTGCATTGTTGCGTGTCTTGTTGTTGGTTGGTTTTACATATTAATAGTATTTTAATTGGTACATATGCATAAATAAACATGATGATAGTTAACCTAAATGGAGGCCATAGTTCCATAATAAAAATAATAATATTTAATTATAATATTTATAGACAATGTTTGTGCTCTCTATACACTTAAAAGCGGCGCATAAAATTTCATATAATAGACAACAAATTTGCTCGTTTATAGTTTCTTTTTTCAGTGCATAATTTGCACTAAACAATAGTTATAGTTTTGCTTTGTTTTGTTTTTGTTTTTGTTTTTTACACACATACAGCGATGATATGTTGCTAGGCTGGTTTTTGCATAAGCGAAGCAATCGTTGATGGCTACTAAAAATGTTTCAAATATTGCTAAGGCAAAGGCGCAAAAAATCTTATCATTTAGCTACAGTTTGTTAGTGTTGTCCATGGAATTCAGATTCAATTGTATGTATATATGTATGTATTTCAAACAGCGAGGCATCCTCTTCCCTAACCTCGTGTAACAACAATCAAATAATATCGTCTTGGATGATTTTGTGTGTGTGTTTTTTCATCTTGTTAAATGGCTAATTAAATTACAAAATTGCGCTACATTAAACATACGAGAAACATAAGCAACATTTATAGTTTCTAAATTAGTTTAGACATCGTTCTGCTCCTTGAAGTGATGATAATGATGATGTATATGCTCGTGCACATAGCGATGTATCATTGAGCTGGAGGCGCTCGTATCTAGATCCGCATCGGCAGCTGGCGCATCCACATCCACATCCTTGGCCTGGGTAACAGCCTCGGCGAGTGCCTCGCCCACCTCATCGTTCAGATCGATCAGTGTGTTCGTGGAGACGACCTTGCTAGGTGTGCTCGTCAATATGGGACTGGCCGAGAGCAACTCATCCTCCTCCTCGCTGGCCAGCAGATGGGCGCATTCCAATGCATCGCCAAAGATCTTGGAACCAGCCGAACTGCTGCTCGATGTCGCTGGACGCGAAGTGTCCTGTGAGGCAGTTGTCTTATTTTGTTGTGGCAGCTGTTGCAGCTGCTGCTGCTGCGGTTGTTGCTTGTGGCGTTGGCGACGCTGCTCGCGCTCCTTTTGCTGCAGTTGCTCGCTGAGCTTGGCATAGATGAGATTGCCATAGTTCTTGTAATCCTTGCTGCTACGCTGCTGCTGCTGCTGTTGCTCCAATCGCTGATATCCTTGCCCCTGCTGCTGACCCTGCTGACCCTGCTGCTGTTGCTTGTTACTCTTCTTGGGTATGGGCTGAACGGTGGCCACATTGCTGGGCGTCGCTGGTGGGGAATGGGTGGCGCCACCGCCACAAATTGTTGCATGCAGAAACGAATCGTAGCCGCACAGATTGAGCTTGTTGTGCGCACTATTGTGAGTGTGCTGTGCGGCAACCACGGCCGGATTAATGGCCAGCTGCTGATGGTAGATGGGTATATGCGGCTGCGGATGGATGTATTGGTTGTTGCTGCTGCTGCTGATATTGTTGACCGTATCGTGTCCGGCTGCGATGTTGCTGCTGTTGTTGTTGCAGTTGTTGTTGTTGTTGTTGCTGTTGCTGTTGTTGCTGTTGATGTTGTTGGGCTGCGGCGATTGCGTGGGCGGACTGCAGCTGAGCGGCGACTGAGCGGACTGCGGACTGTGATTCGCAATTAGTGTCGGGATTTTCGAGCCTGTATTGCAGCGTTGGCGTTGCTGTTGCTGTTGTTGTTGTTGTGCTGCCGGTTGCCGTATGGGACTCACATTGGCTTGGGGTTTTCTACAAAAACAACAAAGAAGAAAAAGTAAAAGGTTTTAATTAACACTGCTATTCATAGCGTTTCGAGAGGCAGAGTCAGGTCAGCTAGGTCGCAAAAAAAAAAAAAAACAAAAATAAAAAAGGAAATTGAAAAGCATAAGCCAAATTAACATAAGGGTGAATCAGCATTTATTGCTGGCCACAAACAGCAGCAAGTCGCAGATTATTATGAGTGGGGCATATGAAAAAATGAAATTGAAAATAAATACTAAACTGAGCTCCTTTCTCTTTCATTTGACTGCCTTGCTAAAGTGCTCAATTTGCTTGCCTTTTTCCTTTTTTATATTTTCTTGCATATTTCATGAATTTAATCCCAGCTGTTCATATTTGTCTTGTGGTTGTGCTCTATGTTTATTTTTAATGTTGCATATAAATAAGTTCTAGATACACAATAACTATTTACTAATTCGATTATACATATGCCTTTTGTGAATTATAAGCGGAAATGTTATGAAATTTTCTAAACATTCATTTCTAAATTATTTTTGACTTTTTGACCCATTTATGATTTTTTTATTTTTCATGAGTTATTCCATAATAATTATGGTGACTAATATGAATGAATAAATAATAAGTAAATGTTCAAGAAAATAAAAGCCATTGAAAAAAAGTAACGACTAAAATGAAATTACTAAAATAAAGTTTCTTTAATTAGTTATTTTGTCACCTTTTCAGCTTTGAAATAATTAATTTTTTTTATTTTTGTGTAAAAACTCTACATTTATTTCCACATATCCAGTTGAATTCCTGTTTTTTATTAGGATTTATGTTAAATCTATCAATATTTTTAAAATGCACATTGTCATGCGTTAACTTCACTATCGATTCTCTGCCTAATAACATACAATCCGAACTATTGCCACTGTCGATTCTCTATGTAATATTCGCCTTCAGTTCAATTCTTTTGTCTTACCCATTTAGCTGAAAACACAAGCGATTTTTTTCCATGCTCTCCCTGATGATGCTAATTAAATCGTTGCGATTCAGCGCCGATTTCCAGCACTCGGCAGACTTTCGCTGCTGTTGCCCCAGCAACGATTGTGGGCGTGGTTGACGCAACTGAACACCATCGAGCATCACATCGCCCAACGGTGGCGAGGATGAGACGCTCTTCTGAGCCAGCTGCTGCTGCTGCGGCTGTTGCACCTGTTGCGGCTGCTGCTGCTGCTGTTGCTGTTGCAAGTGGCGATTCTGCCAGGTGGAATCGTTGCCCACAGATAGGCTGCGTTGACGCGTTTCGAGGCAGTGATCCTGATACTGTGATGTGAGGCAATCAATCGTAATGCGTAATGAGCGAGTCAACCAAAAACGAAAAGAACAATACAAACAAATTATAATCTGGCAAAAATGAAGAAAATCTAACAAAAATGCATGCCGAATAATTAAATGAAATATGATAAAGTAAAAGAGCGCCGTTTTATGGGTAGCTAACCTGTCTACTTGAATTTATTTCGAATATTTAGGTCGATCAATTTTTATGAGGAATTCAGTTCTTTGCTATCAATTCGATTCTGAATATTAATTTTCTGACCAATTTTCAATCATATTTCAGACTTAAACAATGGATCAGCATAATCTCATTTTTTCTGCAATTTTTTGTAACTATTTTTTATATTTTGTGAAATAATCTTTCAATATATTAATATCGAATATCAATTAATTCTCAAGCAACTTTTAAGTCGTCTATCAATCCAGTAAGCCATTTCTAATTTTTCTAAATTGTTTATGATTTAATAAGTTTCCACATTTAATTTTTAATAATTCTGGCAAAATTACAAAATGTGTTTTGCATAAATATAAGGTTTGAGGACTATTTTAATAAGCCGCTAATCATTTTTCAAATAGAATATTTGTGATTTTCCCTTCAAATTTCTTTCTAAATGATTGTTGAAGTTGTATTTTTTTCTAGTATGCGTTTCTAAGGGTTTTTTGTGCATAGATTGTGGCCTACCTTTTGTTTGCGTGCCTTCCGCAGCAGCTTGACGCGTTGTGTTGCCTGCTTCATGTAGACATCCTGGCTGTGGTGCTGCTGCTGGTGGTGGTTGTTGTGGTGGTGGTGTCGCGTGCGCTGTGGACAGTCGACCACATCGATGGGGGCATCCTTGTTGGCTGCGCCGCTGCAGCATTTGAGATTCAGCATATTCTCGCAGGTATTGTTATGGCCATTGTCCGGCGTATGTTGCGTTTGTTCCGGCTGCTGTTGCTGTGCGTTGCAGCACTGCTCCAATTTAGTATTGTTCTTGTGGTGATATCTAGACTTTGGCTGCTTGCCACTGTTGCCACTGCCACTGGGCTGCTGTTCAACGGCGGCAACTGTTGTCAGCTCCTTCTCCTTGTCACTGTTGCTGTCATCGTCCTCGTCATCGGATTTAATCAGTTTGCGTGGTCGATGCCGATGCTGGCGGCGTGCACCGCCGGATGTCGTTAGCGCCATGCCATTCACTGTTTTTGACATGGCCGCCAAACCCGTGGGCAGCTTCTTCAATTTGCTGCTATTGTCAGTTGTTGCTGTTGCTGTTGTTATTGTTGGTGCATTAATGGCAGTGCAGACATGTTTGAGTTGTTGTGCCGCGTTGCTGCCGTTGCGGCTGCTGCCTGTGATTTCGATTTGCCCTCGGACTGACGGTGAGTCGCACGTTAATTGTCTTGCTGCCACAGTGTGGCACTACCACAGACTTGCCAATGGATTCGTATATGGTATACACAATGCCCACAATATCATCCTTGGTTATCTTGCCATGATGCCCAT